GACAAATACATGGAACAACTGGCAGTGACTTGATTCACTTGAAAAGTTTATTTGTGGTGAACTCTGAGGAGCAGATTTAGTTTAGCTGGAAACTCCTGTTGAACTTCAAATATATTGAAAGTGGGTGGAAAACAGATGAACTCATCATTCATTCATTCAATTGGTCTAGCCTGAGTTTATAATTCCTGATCTTGATGGAGCCATAAGCACGGAGATACACCTGAAAATGGATTTGCCCTTTGTTTGCATGTGTCATTGTGTCTCGATTTCAGTCTACATCACATAGTTTTCACTCACACCAAGTTTAGACAGGAGCTTTTACGGTACATGACATATTTCATAGCTGCGGTACCTCACTAGTCAAATCCAATAGAGAAGAAGTCCCTAAAACTTTGACAACCTCAGACTCTTGCCGCCTCTTTCAAAGCTGCTATTTTAATGAGTTAGCCACTGTCTGTCACTCACAAGTACAAGACACTGACGTGGATTGATGTCATCGTTCCAGGCCACATTCTGAGAAATATCAACACTAATAAAGTGAAATTAATGTTGATCTTTCTCAGTGGGAAGGGGGACTACTGCTGATGCACGCCGTTTCAGTTGGTATGTGCTGGACTATTTTCTGCAACATTTAATACAGTAATAAAAATATACTATCTTTGGTAACATCATGACCGAAATATGAATAAAAAAGTTGACGACAGCACATCATTTAACTAATTTTAACACACTAACAATCATGATTGAATGTCTCTTTTTGTTATGACTGGCAAGTACGATGGGAAAGTCTTCAGTATGCAATGGATTAATGTTATGAGCCATGCATAAAGCAGGCTGAAATTGAGGTAATCAGCCTGCTTACTAGTTTCTACGTTTCAGTCACTTCTGATCCAGTCGAGACTGAGATGGGAGTAACTGAGGGCTTTGGGTTCATCTCTAAACCTCTGAAAAGGGTCATCTTCCTTGCTGACCTCAGCCGGATTTGTTTCCCGAAAAGGAAATGACTGCAACCTCCACTGCACTTGGGTCATGAGCTAGACTTGAGGAGCCAAACTACAAAGAGCTTAATCTATTTATAGGAAAACACTGCTACAGTACAATGATCAGGGGGAAAAGGAACCCTACAAGACAGAAAGACAGTCGGACGCCAAGGTTACACGCCAACTGTCAAGATCAACAAGGAGCCTTGCCATTCCCCTGCTTTATAACTTAAGTCCATTTTCCCTGCCTCTCCGAAAACATTAAACTATCCCGTTACTTTTTATATTGACGATTTTGACATTTAATACAAGTAAGAAATGCAGCACCTACAAAGCTGTCTCGTGTAATAATACTAAAAACTTATTTGAGTACAAGTTGCGAAGAAAAACAGTCATTTTCTTTTTTTCAATGTAGAAAACATTAATTCATTGAGACTTAATGTCTCATATTAGTAAAAACAGTACAAGGACAGGCCACACTTTAAACATAGGCTGAATGGACGCAAGGTTAATACTATAATAACAAAGATATAAAACTTAAAAATACAAAAGCTACATTCCTCACATACTGGATTAACTACCAGAGAGAGCTGGAGTGAAGGCTGGGTCTTTAGGGTGGCATAGTCTGAAGGCGTTCAACGGAAAAGTCACAACACTCTCATAAACGTATTTTATATCACACAGAATTTTATTTTGTAATAAATACAAGTGCCATAGCAACAGCCCTACTACAAGGTTACTTGGTTTGCTCAGCTGGAATGGAAGGAAAATCATTTTAGTTTCTAACTGCCATTTTCCTATTTGGGGATTTTTAAATTGCCACAGTGACTTGGAGAATTGAGAGCTGAAAACAACATACACAAGACTGAAAGCAAAAACAAACAAGGACAACACTAACAAAGAAGAATATAGGAAGCAACCTGTTGGTTTGCCTGCTGAGCAGGCTCTGAAAACATGTCAGTCTGATTGGCAGAGGGAACAAGTTATTGGCAAGTCACAAGCAAGTCTCAAGACTTTGCACTCAAGTCAAGTCCCAAGTCAAGATTGAGTCCTATGCCCTAAACTTTGAGTTAAGAGTTCGAAACAAGTCATAATGCACTTTTCAATAAAAGTGATGCTAGTACTCAATTTACAAAAATCGTGAATGCTTTTTAAATTTGCATTTATTTGCATTTGTTTAGCATGTAACATGTTTAATGTTAGCTCAGCATTAGCTTGCTAACTATGTTGATTTTAGCTTAGACTAACTGTTCTTTGTCCAACTTCAAATGTTGAACGAAGTTGGAAGTTGTTATTTCTGACCCACACATAAATCGTTTTTGAAGACCACAGTGTAACTTCTGTTTGACCTCAATTGTTGGGCTTGAGAGATGGTATCAAGTATTTTCAAATCAAAAGGCTCAAGTCCAAGAGAAGTTATGAGTCACTGATGTTAAAATCCAAGTCAAGCTGCAAGTCATTTTTTTAAGTTTTTTGATCACATCTGACTCAAATGTACATCTCTGCTGGTTGATATATGACGTTCATTTAGGGGCATCCCTTTCCAGGTCTGAACAATTGCACATGCTTGCAAGAATTCAGTGAGACTTTTCAGTTAGCCTACATATACTTTTAAAAACACAGAAATAAAAACAAACCCCCCCATTGAGGGTAGGTAAAGCTAGTCATTCTCCTTTACCAAACTGTGTGAGTTATTCTAAAGAACCCTAAATCAAGCTTTGGGAACGTGGGGACTTCACGAGCAGTCACTACGTCTACATCTGCAGGTATGATATATCCCCATTCTCCACCCTGTGAAACACTAAGGAACTAGCATATATCCCATAACTCAGCATGAGGGGATACAGACGACACACAGATATGGAAGCAATGGAAAAGTCAGTTATAAAATAAAGGACTGTTGAAAAGAGGCAAAGGAGAACAGGGAGTGAGATGAGAGATGGAGGGGCAGCAAAGGTCCCACAAAAGGAAAGAAACACAGGGAGGTAAAGAAAAGCTGTGGAAGAGTCCTGTAGGCTCTGTGAATCACTGCCTGGTGTCAGCAGGCCTTATGAACCTGAAGCCTGGCCGTAAATTGTGGAGAAACCGTGAGGAACTCGGACTGGTCCCTGTGGAAATTCTATGTCTACACTTTATCAACCATCTGCAAGAACACAGGGACCGGTTACACTGCGTGCACCATGAATATCTTTCGTAATAAACAAAAGGCAGTGTATAAGTATTATTATCTCATGAAATCATAATACTGAGATATGCTTTCCTTTGAAAAAAATAATGGTGGAAATGTGTGGGCTTCAACAAATTTGTACGGTTTGGATTTCACCACATGGAGCCGATTACAATACCCACAGGTGGCATAGATATTTTGGGCCATTACAGAAATAAAGAGTTGAGTTCCCATCAAATTTATATTTAAGAGTCATGTGGGGGTCTAAACACGGGAGTAGTGACAAGCTTTTGTTTCCAGGGCCAAAATCATTTGCCTTCTCGCTTACTTGCAGTGAAACTGGTGTAACTCTCAGCTCTCCCATCACCCGTTCAGGTTCATATTATTGGAAACACTGACATCAAGCTGGAAGAACGAGAAGAAAAACACGCCAGTCAGAGCATTAGAGCAATGATCCATCTCTAGTTCAATACGGGAACAGGAGAGTGGGCTAAAACAATCAGCTTTCCTTTCTTTCTCTTCCATTCTCCCATCAGTGTTCCACCAAACATCTGCCATTCCTTCCCAGCAGAAGGGAAGGTCGTTTGTTTCCATGCCGAGATCACTCGGTTATACAACCACTGGTCTTGTTTGGGTACAACTGCTCAGACAGGATATTACAGGATAGTACAACGCCTTCTTTTCCCAACTGCTGGTCATCAGGGTAGAAACAGACAATAACTGCCTGTAGTATACGTGTGAAAGACAACTGCAGATGAACGGCTTGTTAGGGATCTCTTCTGAGGTTGCCACAGAAATGAGAAAAATTCACATCTATCATTTTAACTTGACGTTACACTCTTACAATTTGTTTTATATAGTCTAGCCATCCCTCTGTTGAGATTTAGGCTTTATTATCTTGTTTCTTTCTAACTGTATAACTCAGAGTGGCAGCATTAACTAGCCAACTAATGACTGAAACCCTGAGGCAGCGTATTTGGCTTGCCATGGAGAGATCAAATCTAGAGTCTATTCTGTGACTAAGACACCAGTCCCCTATCCACAGTGCCACTTACCACTCCTTTATTATTTCTGTGGGGTAATTTATCCACTCTCTTCTTTTATCGACCTGCAATTTCTGAACTATGAAGTTTCTTTCCCTGATTGCCAGAGAGCTGACAGACTAATGCACATTCTGGGCTCGCTTTCAGTGTTAACATTGGAGATAGCCCTCACAATTAAATAACAAAAAAAAACAAAAAAAACAGGAATACACATGTACATCCTCTTTGTAAGGTAACACTCTCTGGCCTCGGCCTATTAACTGCTACAGTCTTCTGAGAGCGATGCATTAAGGGATCTAATTGTTTACAGGTTGACAGATGATCGTCCCAAAGTCTTATGTCTCAAGTACCGCCTGTCTGTGCATAAAAACAGTCTGGAGCAATGCATTCCATTGTGTATACCGCGTTCTACCTGTGATGGAAGCTATTTATGGACTGATGAGAGGCATTTAGCCAGAAATAACTCAAAAGCACATTATCTCTGAGCAGATCTGATTCCAGAGCACACACAAAGAGAGAGGTCACTTTGCTCTGTGAGATGTATAACAAAGGATAACCCGGTAGACATGGTCGTGACCTGAATGTGAGGTCAGTTGCTCTGACAATGGCAGTGCGAGGGCGTGTGTGTGTTTTTGGTTCTAACTATGTCAGTGTTGTGGTGGTGTGAGGGAGTATCACTGTCCAGCAAGTTACATGAGGCAAGTCGTTCCATTGCAGAACAAGTATGTCTGATTGCTTCCACACAGCCGTGTGTAATACGTCTGGAATTTTGACGAATATGTACAGACACACGTGCAGATCAAACTTTACCATTCTGTTCATCCAGCTCATTGCCGATCTCCTGGCCCATTATCTTCTGTCGGCTGATGACAGCTGATAGTGCATCCAAGCCTGCATCCTGGGCTGTGAGGAGAGGTGAAAGGAAATAGAAACTTTTAAACACTTGAACATGAGACAAAGAAAGGGACTAACGCTGAGGGCATTTAGATAATGCAAGGCAGGACGAGGATACAGAGAAAAAGACTCAAGAAAAACACATTATATTATAAAAAATAAAACCAATATGAGGTCAAATTTAGCAACGGGGCAGAGGACAAACTATAAAACAACGATGAAATCCCCTTTGAAAAAGTCAATTGTAAGAAGGGAGCAATTACAGTCCACTGTACTTGTGATATAATGAGGCAACTATTTAGGAAATAGGAATGACAGGCTGTTGGGGTCCAGCTTAGCTCACAGTGCCACATGTGAGTCATTCAGTACTTTACCCCACTCAGCCATACTCCTGTTATTATAACTGTGGCAGGCCAAGGTGGAGAGCGAGAACAGTGAAGCTGAGGGGAAGAGAAGAGAAGAGAAGAGAAGAAGAGAAGAAGAAAAAAAAAATAAAGAAAAGAAAAGAAAAGAAAAGAAAAGAAAAGAAAAAGTTCTGGCCTCTGTAGGTTTCCAAGTTTGACACACTCTCCACCACAGGAATTTTTTTATGACCGCAGGTTCAGGCACTCACCATTACCCAACTCCACCAGAAATCCCACAGGGGACTAGAAACCTCCATGTGGTTTGGTTTCACTGTCTTAAGAGGAATCTGTGATCCCAAACTGACAATAACCAGAGCCGTAATGGAGACACAGCAATGAAGTGTCACTTGGAGTCAGGTGAACTAATGTCTGGGTGTTCAAATCATGTCAGAGTCATTCAGGAAACAGGAAAGAGCAGGCGTGGGTGTACAATATGTTTTCTAGATGTGAATTATTGCGATCATCATTAATATGTTAGCACAGACAGCATGTCCCATACATGTTTAATACAAATCATGTTGTGTCTTAATCTTGTTGTCGCACCAACTGTCTTTATTTTACTATAATGTGCATTATTTCCACACACACACACATTAAGAGATGTTACATATCGTTATGATGGGACGGCCATGCTGTATTCATTGAAGAGGTACAAATATGGGCAAATATGAGTTACAATTATTATCTTAGTGATGCAGGAAATTGTTAGTGCTACAGATGGTTGCAATGCCCATATTTGGTTTGGATGCTAATTTCATCGAAAAGGAATGAAACAGCACACTTGGATTCATGTTTGCTTGATCACCCATTACAACTGGAATGGAACAGTCTCATTTGGGGCAGCTGCGGCGGTGTTGACGGAGTCGATCCCTGGCTCTTAAAGCTCCTGTCCATATGTCCTTAAGCAAGACACTGAACCCCAAGTTGCTCCTGATGGTTAGGACAGTGCCTTGCATAGCAGCTCTGCCTCCATGAGTGCGTCGTGTGTGTGTGTGTGTGTGTGTGTGTGTGTGTGTGTGTGAGGGTGAATGAGAGGCAAATTATAAAGCTCTTTGGCCATTAAGGTAAAAAAGTGCTACCCAAGTGCAGTCCATTTACCATTTATTCAATTATGTGTAATTACCTTCGATGATTCGCTGTTGCTGCTGTTTGATCTCTCCAAAGGTCAGCCCTCTGGTCTCCTCTGATTCGTTGACCAGCCAGGGGTTGGCCGCAACACCTCCACTCGTTCCTGCCCCTGTGCCCATCAACGTCGACCTGTGAAACATCATGATAACAATGTTTAGTTTCAAAAATGTTTCACCGCCACTACTCAAGTTTTATTGTATTTTTTTAAACATGTGAGCCATCATACAAAATGAAAATTAGTTTTGGAGAGCACAAAATTACAACACAAAAGCAAATCTGGTTTGGTTGAAGTAACAAATCACCCAACTGTGCACAACAACCTAAAGTTGATGGCAAGTGTGCCCTTGTTGTGTGTCAATCACCATGCCAGCACACGAGTCTAAAACACCCATCGTGCATCAGTGACTTTTAGCTATATAAGTAAACACAGTCAATATGCCTGGTTGGGATAGGAGTACAATGCACATCTGTACAGCTCCTACAGCAAACACATCTGTACGAGGCATGTTCCCTTTTCAATACTGTATTCTTTTGAACATTTTATAACAACAAAAGCCTTTAGATCACAGAAAAAAAGTGTTTACTCATTTATTCTTTTAAGTTTTTTGAACGATTGAAAAATACCAGGTCAGCTTGCGTAGTGTGTAAACAGTGCATGTTAATCTGTCACAGGACTGCGGGCTGCTGGGGAGGTTTCGCTCTGACGAAGTGACAGTCCAGAGAGCTCTCTGGGCTGCACTGCGCTGTGCTAAACACCGCTGTGTGGTTTAAAAGCTATTCTTCTGTTAATAGCTTAAAGCTGTGCTGCAGACCCCCCCATGGCTGTCTTGTGGTGACGGGTTCAAAATCTCTGTGTGAGGCTGGATTTAACCGAGTTTGCTGCGAGCAAGTCGTCTGCTAGTCAAGCCTAGGAAAAGTAGGCTGCGCCACATGTAGGCATGTCAGGAAATAATATTACTACTACACTAAAGCTAACATAATTCAGTTTTTTCATTAGTACATTTAAAGGTCCAGTGTGTAGGATTTAGGGGGACATATTGACAGAAATGAAACATATTTAATATGTTTTCTTTTGTGTATAATCACCTGAAAATAAGAATTTTTACCTTGGAATGAGGCGTTCATAACTACACAGGGAGTGGGTCCTCACCCATGTTTCTACAGTAGCCCAGAATGGACAAACCAAACATTGGCTCCAGATAGGGCTATTCACTGTAGCTAGCAGCCAATAACAAGCAATGTCGGAAAAACAGTGATTTGTTACTGTTTTATACAGTGTTTTAACCAGTTTAAATCACAGAGTCTGTTTGTTCAGGAGAGGAGGAGACCTCTGCAAAGAATCTGGCTTCCACTAAAAACCTCTTGAACATCTGGATCAGGAATAAGGTGAGCACACATTAAGTTACCAGAGAAAAAATGTGGGCACATATTAGCAGGTGCTGGACTGGCAGCACCTCTTCGACAGACCAAAGAGTTTAGGAAAAACCCCAATTTGTAATGTGAAACTGCTTTACTCAGTGTTTTTACCGGTTTTAATCACCTCATCCCTTTGTTTTGGAGAGTAAGAAATCTCTGTGATTAATTCAGCTTCTGGTAAAACCTTCTGAACAATGAATACTGAAGGAATCCCAAGTGGGAGTTTGCAATTGGCACATGGAAAAAGTTTCAGCTGGTTGCAATCTGCAATCCTTGCCACTAGATGTAATTAAATCCTTCATACTGTTCCTTGAAACTCGATGTTTCAAATTTTAAAGTGAAAGCTGTTGAGGTTATCTCTTTTTTGCACAAGCAATACATAAAACTACTTTTATCTCATCATGCATCTCACACTGTGATGACTAGCATAAGCTGCTTCTGAAGTGGTCTCTACAGCACTGTCAGACCATTCCCAAGGCTAACTAGCTGAGGCTGATACCATCAGAGGAGTAGGTGAGATGAGGCATTCGGTCTAATCTCTCTGACATATTTGATTACTATGAGACTGTGTGCCAGCCCTCCACTTCCTCCACGAAAGTGCCCAGTGTGTGAAGATCCAATTAACCAGTCAGTGGGGAGCGCCAAAATCAGTCGGGCACATCTCTTGGCAGCCACAAAGCGCTAGACTGCCGCCACCGGGGCCTGAGCACCCAGGTCCTGACTGAATGACTTGGACAGGGGAGATTTAACTAATTACAACTATTTCCAGTGCAATCAAATACAAAGGAAAGGTTAGTGAATAATGGAGGAGAGGTGGGTCTGAGGGGTGACAGGGTGAACCGAGCCTTCAAATGTAGGCGCCATGTCCTCCTTGTGCTTAGTCTGAAATGGAGATGCTTAGAATGTGTTGTTTCGGGGATAGATTAAAGTCCCCTCTGTAACCTCTATCCCTTTCCTTCTACCAAGTTCTCACAAAAAAAAAAAAAGAGCGGCTTAGATTATCCAAGCATGGCCAATCCACCCCCTCCCGCATTCTGTCCTCAGAGACCACACAGTGGGAATGGGTCCTACCCACAAATCCAAATTACCCACCACATATCACTATTAAAAGTTGGGTCTGACTGAGCAAACTAAAAACCATATGACCACATGATTACAGTTTGCCAAGCTAATTTATTAGCAAATGTCATTTGAATTTTTTTTACAGAGCCTTTTATGTAATCGGGTGTGTGGTCTGTAAAAAAGATGAAAGTGTGTGCAAAGCACCGCTAAGTAGATCAATCCCAAAAACCAAAGCTTGTGAAAGATATCAGAGAAAGGCAGTCTCATATCAAGGCATCAATAAAAGTGGTTTTCTAATCCAGTTCAAACGGATCTGATGAAGTGACGCTTTGTTTTATTCTACACTCATTTCGGTTGCTACCCAAAACTCCCTGTACAAAGTTGTACTGTACAGGAACTTTCATGCCAAACCTCTACAATGTAAAAACAACATGGAAGTACCATCTATGAAAAAAAGAGGCAGATCTTCCCATAGGCGACAACAGAGGAATGTTGGACACCACCCAGGAGAGGGCTACAAAAAAGTATTATTGTTGTTTGTTAGCTAGGTTGTTCATTTGTGTCATCTCATTAGCTCTTGATCTTGTTTGTAAGAGATACATTAAATATAAAAAATAGTAATACATTTTGGGGGGGTGGGGGGGCTTGCCTTGGGCACTGAATGTGCTACGTCCGGCACTGAAGTGAAGAAAAAATAATAATTCATAAAACAGACATGAAGAGCTGGATGAAGTTAACAACATGACACCATTTCCTCTTCCTGTCCAAACAAATATCACCTGGGCCGGACTAGGTCAAACATTGTGCAAAGTAATGACTGCCTGAAGCCTGAGGTTTTCAAAGCTGTCACATTGACGTGACATCAGTAGATGAAGAAGATATAAGCTGCGGCATCCAGCTCTTTGATTGGCTTCACAAGTGCTAGAATAAATGCTCAGCGGAGAGTTGTTAACTGTAAACTCACTCCTTCCATCTCCGTTCATCAAAACACACACCCAGGAACATTCGTATGAATGAGTGTGCGTGTCCATTTCAGGAGGTGCCAAATGTGTGATCAGCAGAGCAAATCACTTAATGAAAAGGAAAAAGCCACAAAGTTAGGAGCCCTGTCAGAATGGCAGACAGACGGACTTCCTTCCGAGTGATAGCACAGAGAGAGGTCAGGACACATGGGTCATACCGGATGTATGAAGACTTTCACAGAAAGTTAGTGACCAGTGACATATCATCAAAGCAGAGGAGAGAGCATATGACCTTTCTGGTCAAGGTCATAGAAAAGAGAATGAGGATTCATTATTTTTAATTGGGTGTCCAAGACTGGATACTAAAAAAAATCAATTAAAAAAAAGATCTCAGAGTGGAAAATCACAAAATGAAAGGCGGCATGTTCTGAGCAGGATGCTCCCTGTAGCAACATGGGGTGATGCTTGGTTTGGGCCCTCTTACACTGACTGACAGTGGCAGACAGAGACTCACAGTTGAGAAATATTTCGCAATTTTCTTGGACTACTAAAGCATGAAGCTGGCTGTCCAAGAATATTTTTCAAAATGAAGGAAAACACCATTGGAAAGTGAATACTACTTGCTTACTGAGATTTGCAAATACTGTCCTTCTTAACTTTTCGTCTCATTAAGGATAGAGTGAGCTCCCGCACGCTGTCCCGCTTTTTGTAGTAACTGCAATTTTATCAAGGTAACGTGTCGGTAATCAGACCTCTTCATCTTAAAAACCACACCTCATCCAACGCAGAGGATGTTGAACATTCAGATGTGCAGAGACTTTTCATAAAAATAAGTAATTTGGTGGACCTCTCATTAAGGATACAATTATTTGTCCAGATTTTAATACCTGGAAGGTTCGGGCTCCGTGATGTCTCCCTTGAAGGTGGCGTTGAGCTGCTTCTCTCTGGTTAGCAGGTCATCAATAAGGTTCTGCCTCCTGTCAGCTTCTGACTGCATTCTGATGAAGCAATGTTAAGGTCATGCAAAAGGTCAACATTACTTTAACATGCGTCTGTGAAAGTGGATGGAGGATGCTTCTGACACTTTTCTTTGGGTCAGTTTGGAATTAACCCATGAACACAGAAACCTTTGTAACAGCAAACACTTTTAGGGCAGATGTTTTTAAAACACTCTAATGCCCTCTATAGGAAAACCACTGCTACTGCAAGCAAAGAAAACCCTCCAGCCCAAAATGTAATCTCAATCTCATGACTTCCACTCAGTGGAACATTTTCAGAGGAAAGGATACATGCGGCGAGAGGATGATGCTCGCAACAAACCCTCTTTAAGCTGGGCAATATTCTGTTTGAGCTTCTGCAGTGATGCCCGTAGTGTCATGTTGATCTGAAAAGACAGAAGGCAGTCACAGCAGCTGATTACTAGAGAAACCTGAGGATAAATTTATACGATATGCCACTGTATTTGATTATAACACCTTACCTTTGCAGGGTTCCCCCCTGTTCTTTGCTGCCTGTTCCGTTCATGAATGTTTTCTGCTATTTCCTGTGCCAAGCGACAAGTGGCATCATAATTCTGTAACCTACAGATCAATAAATGGGATAGAAGCGTCATTTAGATTGACATGTCATTACTAACTAATGACAGACAGCAGCCACAGATACTTTTTGTATGAACACAGAGAGACCCCTGTTATCCCCATTACGAGTTTAATGTGGTAATTAAAGAAAACTGTCACCGGTCAATGGATCTGTGCAGAGTGAGGACAACTGACTGATCTGTTTCCTAATGTTGTGCAGCCTCCTAAACATATGTTATAAAAATACCTTACAATAAAATACAGTAAACACTGACCAGGTATTCTATCTAGCTCATAATGTTCAGTGTTTGGACTGCCAGAGGGCCTAATGTAACTCGTTAGACAGGTTTGATTTTGGAGATTAAGAAAAAATACCACTGAGTGTCTAAGAAAGATGAATAAACGCCACTGACTGACAGCTTCAAATGTTTTAGCTGCGACATTAGCATTTAACACAGCGCTAATGTACTGCATTGTAGGGTATTTGTGTTACTGAAGTACCAGTATTTTAGTTGGGTTAACGTCAGTCAATATGCCCAAGCTTTAGCTACAACCATCATGTGACATATTTAGCTTTGTCTTTTTCCTCTTTCGATTTTGCTAACGTCACTAAACTCCAATCTGAATTGTAAATAAAACCCTAAAATAACATGAATTTCCTTGCCCTGTTCCAGTACTGCATATACACATAAATAGCTGACTTTGTAATGGCTTATTAGAAATGCAGGTTATTGTATTTGGTTTATTTTGACAAGGAAGAGCTAGCTACAACCTTAGCTAGCAGGATATAGAAAGAGTAGCTGACTTCTCAGGGTTAGTAACGCCATTTATTGCAATTAATAATGCAGTTAGGGCAGTTACCTGTTGCATTTGAACACACTACTTACCATGGGTCCTGAGACATTGTGATAACAGTTAGTTATAGAGAGAAAATCCACTTAGTTTGAACCATCCGGCAGTAATCACCAGCAAACTACTTCTTGTTTGGGTGTGACGTCACTACGGCACGCTGCGAGGAACAGCCTAGTCCAGGGCCGCTTTTTTCAGTTGGAATAAATAACAGAAAGGCTACTGCCAGCAGCACAGTGTCACTGTTGTTGTGTTTTCCACGTGTAGACAAACTCGAAGCCTCCTCCTCTTCCTCCTCCTCCTCCTCCTCCTCACCAGCTTTCAATGCTCTTCTGCTTACAACAGTGGGCACAAAAAGCCACAGCTCCCTCCCATTTTGAGTACCATTTCTTACTGTCCTGTCCTGTTAAAAGTGACATTTAACTGCATTTAAGGATATCTGTATTGTTTGAACAAGAAATTGAACTGCATTTGTTTTTTCACATTCTATTTGTGTAGAATATTTTTGTGTGTTTATGTTATTGCCATTTTTATTGGTTTATGGTTTGTGCAGGAGTGGACTTGCAAAAGTTCAGCAAGTAACCATTGACCATTCTTAGAATTTCATGTTGAGAAGCTGTAGATGTACTGAAAGTGTAAACAGCCTACACTGCCCTGTAAGTCTGTAAAATACATTTTATCATTATATATTCTAACGGAAAAAAATGTTACCTAGGGTATAATATTTGAACAGATATTGTCATTTCAATTGCTATAGCTAGCACACTTAGCATATATTCTACACAGGTATGAAGCTTGTTGGAATTTAAATGCATATAGATTTATGTCACTGTGTGGATGAGGGTGTGTTTGTGACCTGATGGTCGAAATAAAGATTTAAACCCCCTCTATCAGCCTGTACTGAGTGTCCAATCCACCCTCCTCCATGTCAGCTCTCCTTCATTGGCTGCATGTATTTAGGTAACCTCCTGTGGCGTGTAAAGTGCTTGTGTGAGACTGTATGTACGGAAATGACGCAACGATGAGAAGCCAACCCCAGGGCTGTTACTCCTTAATTGTACTGTGTGTGCATATTTACTCTGAACCCTCCTCATGCTCAAGTCCGTGTATGCCAGGTGTTGTAATATTTCCTTTATTCACCATTACTTTTTTTGCATGTACAGATGTGCACGTGAAGAATTGAAAACTTTTAGAAGGATACCCCACCACTTGTAAGGGCCATTTTATCCTAACTAAAAACTCAAAATTGTACCCAGTCTCCTGCAGTGTCAGCCTGTGTGATAGGAAGTTGTACTGTCTCAAAAAGATGGCTCTGTTTTTGCAAAATGCTGTCACTCAGCGAGCCATCCTCAAACACCATCATGTGTACATACCAATGATCAAAAGCTTATAAAGCAATTCAAGTGCAACAGAAACCTTTATTGGTACATTCTTATATACAGTAGTGAGTGAATCACAGTGAACAAGCGCAGGCCTTCCTTTCCACTTCACTGCAGTATATTTCAGACAGCCCTGTAGCCCTGCACATTAACAAACACATGTCAGGTTTTTCAGTTAAAGACAGCCATGTCAAAACATAAGCCACATAAAAGACCTGTTAACCTGCCAGTACTTACCTGAGCTCCTTCAGCTTCTTCTTTTTGACCTCATCCAGGCGCACACGTCTCTGCCGGGCTTCCTCCATTAACCTGTCAGCCTCCTTAAAGACTTCTCTGTGCTGTGCTGCGGCTGAGAGCTCATGTGCCTTCACCTGATTTCGGATGGTCTCTGAGTAGCGGTGTGCTTTCTGACGCTGCTTCTCCTCCGCCTCCTCCTGTTTGATGAATGCTTCCTGCTGCGCCCTTTGTGGAGAAAAGCAGAAATAGCAATGGAAAGTAATGCTATTAAAAAGGTATAGATTTATGTGTAAGATAGTACGAATAAATGAAATGAAGGCCTTGATACTAGCTGCATTATTAGTACACTGATTGAACCATCCTACAGATTTGATGATGTGTAAATAAATCAAAATTAAAATCAAGCTTCTTACTTCAGCACCCTCTCAAACTCTGCCTTCTCCCGGTCAGCCTCCATCGCCAGGAGGTGCTCTTTGCAGCGAACCTGCTCCAGACGAGCCGTCCTCAGCATCTCTGCCTGCTGCACTTTCTTTTCAGTGAGCTCTTTCTCTTTTCTCCTCCATTCTCTCTCTATGATTTCTTGGTTCCTCTGAGCACGGAGCTCGTCCTTTCAAATGCAGACACAAAGAAGTTGGACATAGTGGAAGCTTTAATTCCCATGAATCTATATGAAATGTGTCTTTAAAAAGTGATTAGAGTATTTAACTCTGTTATGGAATTGAATTCAGCAGGTACCACATTTATGGCAGTGGCCAGCTAGTAGTTTTATTTCCCAACCTGCTCTGCCTTGTAGTTTTTTGCCTCTCTTTGCTGGGCCCTCAGTTTGGTAATCTCCAACTCCTTTTCCTTCTTGATCCGTCTCTGCTCTGCTTCATATTCAGCCTGCTGCTTCTGCACAAATTCAATGATAGGATGTTGAGAGTGAGTTATTTAACTGAACTTATGGGTATAGTCTGTCCTTGTATTACTGTTTGTCTACTTGTATTTTCTGCTGGTCACTGGAGATTAGCAATTAGTTCACGTGGACTGTCTTCGGAGATAATATGCTTTTATCTTACCATTTTGTTTCGTCTATATTCCACATCTCTCATGTCAGCCAGCCTCTCCTCCTCTCTCCTCCGCTCCTTGGCCCGTACGGTCTCATTATTGATACGAACGATCTCTTCCTGCAGACGCTTCCGCTCCTCCCTCTTCTTCTCCAGGGCCTGGAAGAAGAAAGGGACACCAGTACAGGTGCACCTTACATGTGGTTGCATATTCCCCTGAGCATGTCAGTGTTCACTTTTCTGCTGCATGTGTTTCTGTGTTGTCTCTGCGTGGGCTGTATCTGCACCTTGAGGTCTTCCAGGTTCATTTTCTCCAGGTTCTTCTGTATCTGCTGTTTCTCCTTCTCTTTCATCACGTCTTCCACTTGCCTCTCCTCCAGATGTTGCTGGATTTGGTTCTGAATTTTCTGCAGTTCGCTGAAAGATAACACAAGCGTAACACACAGATGATAAGTACACGAAAGCCCTTTGCCTTTACTGCTGATTGGGAAGAGGATCTTATTAGAGGGACGTGGGTGGTTTGGGTGGGTCATCCCTACAGTGTAGTGTGAGTCATTTTGTGTGTATATCCCAGTAGAGCTCCCCTCACCCAATCCTCTCCTGTCTGCGCAGCTCATTATTCAGCTCCACAGCCTCCAAGGCCTTGCGGCGCTCCACTTCCATCATGCCATCCAGACGCTTCTCCTCCTCTAACAACTCTGCCTGGATCTGTTTCTTCTCTCGGATCTGGGCATCACGTGTGGCTTGACACTGAGCACCCAGAATCAGCTAAGGGGATCACAAACAGAAGTACTGATGCACTGATAACACTCATACAAAAATCAGTAGTACTGCCAGTAATTGAATAGTTCACATTCAGGCCTATTTTGAAACTTTCATGTCTGCAGCTGCTCCCTACCGTGTTGAGCTGTTTGATCTCCTGCTCTTGCTCCATCTTTGAGACACTGGCCTTTTCTACCAAGCTCTTGGCACGGTCCTGGGCCTCACGCTCCAGCTCGGTCAGTGCCTGGTTGTCCTTACGGGACAGGTCTGCCTCATAGATCTGACACTTCCTCTCCTCTGCAGCTCTCTGGATGAGAGTTACATTGAAAAAAAAGGAGTAAGACAATATTGTCACATTGTAAATCTGCAAGTTAAAGAGCAATTTTGATTGGAGTTTTTCATGTTTCCTACAGTGTCCACTTCTTTCTTTCTCTGATGAGCCTCCCTCAGAGCCTCCTTCTGTTTCTTGGTGAGAACCCGGGACGTTGAGGTGATCCGCTCGAACTCAGCTGATGGCAGTATGATGGACTCTCTTGAAGGATCCTTAAATGGGATCCTGGCATAATGACAGGTGCTTGTTTGTTATATGTGCTTTTGAGGTTTCAGTGCTACATGATAGCTGGCACATGAGCATCTTTACAATATTGTGACATTTAAATTTGCTTTTTATTAATCTGAAATTAAATTTAGCTACTTAAATTTACATCTATTAAAGTGTGCATTACTACTGGTTTCATACCACCACGGGCAAACTGACAGACAATCTATGGAGGTTATCAGTGAGTGTTAGCCTACCTGAGATTACGGATGAGGTTATTGGTGATGATTTGAACAGTCTCTCCTTCTTGGTTCTTCTGGGACTGATTCTTGGCCTTGGAGGCTGAGTTTCCACGTTTGTCTAACTGTGATATCTGGACAGAGTTAGACATCTCACAAACCAAGTCAAAACTTTGTGTGACCTCTGCACCTGCACACACCCAGACTCAGTAACAGATGTTTCAAAATAACACTGAGCACTGCTGTCACACCATAGCAATAAACTGGTGCTATGAACCTGGGCTCAGCAACATTAGTGATGCTGCCATTAGAAATTAACACACTTTATAGCAACTTCATCATCTATGGCTGATTACAATATGTAATGGCCACACTAACTCACCTGTGTTGACCTCCCAAACAGGCTTTCATCAACCTGAGAGGTGGGAGCGCGCATGTGATACCGGCGGGTGTCAGAGCTGCTCCTTGAATTCGTGGAGCTGGATCCTTGTTTCTAGCAGGATTAGAAATCAAGATCAGAACAGAGGATGCTAATTTGGCAAACAGGCAAAGTGACATTACTTATTTCAGGATAAAAACTTACCATGGTTGTTGGTGTCCACTACAACCGAGCATGAATACTCTAAAGGGTTTGATAAACACTTTACAAGGTGTCCTCAACAAGTTTTAAAGACTGATAATACGGGCCAAACGTTTTGTTATGAATGGCACAAGTTTATTCAAAAACTTGACCACTTGTTTGTTGTCATGGGAACACATGAAAGGAGAGGAACGTGCGTTTGGTCCCCGCTTTCTTATGTTCAACCGTAAATTAAGGCTGGCACAAATCATGCTGTGCGGCCTTTGCAACAGTTTGTCTTCCGCAGCAGCCGCTCGCCATCGTGGTCCCGCCGTGAATCCAGTCCGGATAGCTGAGGCAGCGAGGCCCGAGGATGCGCCCGCCGAGTGGAGCTCTTCATCCGCTCCCAGGTGGCGTCCTGCCGCTGCAGCGTCCCGCATTGTTGCCTTTAGCGGAACAGTCTGTAGGGACTGTTCGTTACTTAATATGCTTCCGTCAGAGGAAAAACAGAACTGACAGAGTCTGACCTTAAAATAGTGATAGCCTATGCCAGCAAAATCATTCTGTTCTATAGCTCATGTAAAATTTAGCAAAAATAAAATGATAAAAATAAATAGATTGCTGTAACTAGCATGCACAACAATAGTGAAAAACAAAGTTTTTTTTTCAACTCCAGGATTTTATCTTCAACTTTTAACTTTTATTTTTTATACATCAAAGGGTAGCTAAGTTTTGAAAATCCAAAATTGAATTCATGATGGTGAGAGGGTCATGCTTTTTCATTCACTCAGGGAGGCTTAAGAAAAAAAATATTTGTAGCTTCAGAGAGGGTAAAAAAAAAAAGTCATACCCCAGTCATCTCCCTCCTCTGATAAGTAAAGAGCAGTCCCTTAGCGCCACAGCAAGGTAACTCTTGCATTGGCTACCACAAGATGCTAGCTACAGCTCAATAAACAAAGGGAAATGGAAATATGAAAAAAAAGGACATTTTTAGTTATGTGTTTAAAAGTAGTTTGCTATTTGCACATTATTTTTCTTTTAATATGCTATTGTACTGTCAGGTTGTCAGACTCACAAAGAATTTTGTCAGACTTCAAAGAAATGAAGATGAAATTAGGATATTATTATCAGGCCAACACAATGTCAACTGTATTCAGGTTGTTGATTGGTTAGGGACATTCTCCACTGCAACAGCGCTGTGCTGCTCAGATGGTGCAGGACCTGGGGGCCAATGACTGTATTGGCCAATAACAGATAAGCATGAAAAAATGCACCACCAAAGATGCTCTGTCTCTGTCTTCACCACTTACAGACTGCCCTGTCCCCTCTTACCTGCCCTGTCAGAACGGTACTTGACCCATCAGCCTAACATTTTTGTGCACATTTATGAAGGTATCCAAAAGGACCTCTATGGTTCTGGTGATTCACAATTCTTGAAAAAAAAAAAAAAAAAAAATTACTGATTGTTTTCAACCATTATTGACTGCTGACTGGTAGGAGCCACAAGCGATCAAAATCACATTGCAAAAGGCACTAAAATCTGTCCCAGGCCACATTTTGGCCTTTGTCATGGCTCAGAAACTTACATGCATAAAACTTTGGTCTCACTTACAATAGGAGCATCTGCAGATTCATTTCATAGGCTACACAATAAATTATGATCCACTATGATATGAGATGAATAAATCCCTACTTTTGTTACATTTGTCGCCAAGTTGAGATTCAACTTTTCTTATAGAGAATGTGAAGGTAGCACACATCACACTGGTAAGATGGGGGCATCATCTCTCTCACCAAAGTGTTTGCACTCAGTCCAAAAACGAGATAATTTACAATATCTGGGTAAATGAGTGGAAGTAGCGCACCAAGGTCTATGTTGTTTATCCTGACTACGCTGTCCAAACACCATTGCTTGACCAGCCTCCAGTCACAGGTAACAGAGTGCTGTCCTCATAAGGTGGCGCCCATGTCCAAAAAAAAAAAAAAAAAAAAATACAGGGTGACTTCGACCTCACATTCTCTATCTGTATATTATCCCCCCTTTAATCCACTACTGTCATGCAGACATGCTGGAAACACAGCCTGCTCTGCACTCCCTGTTCCCCACCCACATGCTCCCAAACACACCTGGTGGAGATCTGCATGTTTCTCTTTTTCTACTTTAGATCTGGACTGTATTCATCTTTGTCTGTCAGGAATGGTCAGCTGCTGAGATGACCCAAAGGTCAGTTTTTACAAACCCAATGTCTCAGCCCTTGCCCTTCAATCAGCCGCAGTGTAACTGAATACTGACACCATCACTGTCATTGTGTTTTCCACATGGACAAGCTCAAAGCCTCCAAGTCCCTGAAGAAACAGCAGGAGCAGGCTACTGAGTTTACAGTAAAAAAAAAAAAAGAGCACTCACAAATGATAATTGTGTTGCTGTCCAGGAAACTAAGAGAATATTTTGACAGTGTGACCAGAACCATGCTCTTTTAACTACAGGTGTTTCTGTTGCAGGCACACTCCAGCTCATGCTCACAGCAGGACCCAATGTAGCCTACCCAGCAGTCCTTTGACTATGGCTACACAGCACTGCACTGGGTTACAGCCAGCCCCCACAGCCCAGCTTCACTTAAAGCATCTCACCACAATTTGACCAAGCACCTTGCCTCCGTCTGTCCTTTTCTCTCTGTGCTCTTCTACTGAAAATTAGATTTTCATACAAACTTATTATTTTATTAGTGCTATTTCCTTAAATATACATGACTTTTACTCAAGTTAGTGGTTGTTTACTCAATGATATCCACCAAGTGTGGGTGAGAAAGTTAGCACACATTGTCCTAACACATTTGATGCTGTTATGGGAGCAATGGACAGACTGTCATTGAAGACTAACTTTACCTTCCAAAAGAATACTGTCAACCTCAACATTTTGAGTCTGAAAACAGCGTCAACTGTTGGGCTATTATAGAAATACGTAGGAAAGAAGCAAGCACTCTCAAAATAAATCCCCTGGAAAAGTGCACAGCCAAAAACAGCGAAAAAGGGAAAAATGCCAGCACTCACAAATGTCCTTTTGGTAAATTTAATAAACCAACTTGGGTGGCAGTACCAGAAACACAGACGTTTCGACAGAAAGTCTTCTTCAGTGTGTAACTCAGGTTACGGAAGTGGCGTTTAAGTACGCTTGAAGCAATCAGAGCAGGTGTGTGGAAAGACACTTTACACTTCCGCCACTTCTGTTCTGGCAGAAGTGTAAAGTGTCTTTCCACACACCTGCTCTGATTCTTCTGGTACTGCCACCCAAGTTGGTTTATTAAATTTACCAAAAGGACATTTGTGAGTGCTGGCATTTTTCCCTTTTTCTGTTATAGAAATAGTAAACAGTAAACCTGTGCATCCTCTCTCCAGAGACTCAGACTTAATAATCATCTTGAAAAGTAGCCTATGTTCAGCGTGGAGTGTTTCCCTCAAGGAGAGAGATGCATTTTTGTTGACAGTAAATAAGGAGACCTAAAGTAATGCCATGTAAACAGTACATTCTTCAGATGCTTGGTCATTCTTGTTAAAAGCCTGATGCAGAGTGACAGGACACATGGAAATTAAGAGTATATCTCACAGCCATTGTCACGGTATGAGCCTCGATAGACTGAACAGTATTCAGTCAAAATATGTGTGTGTTTTCACTTTTTTATTTCTTACAGTGTATTCAAAGTACAAGTATGAATCCCAGCCTTCATGGAAATCGACACCAGCGAACGTCATGAGGCTAGTGAGTTTGTTTTTCAACTCCATTACAAGTGGAGCCCGCATATGAGATAAGTACTCGTAGAGGGTTTTATGTGTCATAACCAAACAGTAGTCGTGTTTGGATCAAAACATACATCTGTTGTGTAGAAAAATAACCTTTGGAAGACTTCTTGGAATTGGCTCATTGGCATTTGGATGTTGCGCATGAAGCTGTTTCAGAGAAAGAAACATGACAACCCTACTATATCTGATGACCTTATTTTGAGAAATTGGTGCAAATACATCAAAGGTACCTTGTTAAAAATTACAAATATTTGCTTGTCAAATGTCAAAATAAAATACAAAATACTGATATAAGTCCATGTAACTGATTGAAATACAAGTAATTTGTCATTTGAAAATACAAAAATACATTCTACACAAACTGATATAATCACATTTAAGGCATTTAGTAGCCTCAATATGGGTTTGTCCTTAACTCTCTACGTTCTGGTAATTTCCCACGTCATAGATTTGAAATGGCCAGTCAGGTTATCTTGACGGCGAAGAGAAAGAGATACAACCTCTTAAAGTATTTTCTTTTTAAAGTGTGTTGCAACAAATTAAATCTTATTTTTTCTGATCAGCAAAATATAAATTCCGAAATACTAAAAAGTAATTCAATACGTATTTGAAATACATTTAATTGAAATACTGCCTATCTCTGAGTGCAGTAATGAAAAATCTATTACAGAGAGTGAGTGGATTGGGTTTATGTAACATAAATAACAGTTGCCATTAGAAGGGTTATTTGAAGGACACGTGGTTAAATTATGCATTCAAAAATGTGTCTGTTTGTCATGTGATCTGGAAATTTTTATTCTTTGTATTTTGGTTGTAATTATGGTGGCATTGTAGGTGTTTGCCAGACTTCTGAGAAGGGAACACTTCATTGTGCTGGAAAAAAAAAATCATTGGAACTTGACTCACCACAAACAAACCATACCACTATGTCTGGTCTCACATGACCTCAGCCCACAGGCCTTTATAAAGCCCTGATCCTCAGAACATGCGGCTTGTGACAGGACACATTACACCTTACAGCTTGTATTTTGTGGAAGAATAAGATTTGAGATGATCGATGTTTCAAGAACGCCGGAGTTCTCCAACTGTGGAAACATGAATTCAATCTCGATGGTCACATTGTCTGACCAAGACCTGGACTCTATGGCAGGAAGCAGGGGCAGGCAAAGGTCTCACTCCTATTACAGTGTGGAGGACAGTAAGAATTATGGTGAGCAGACACAGACAGAGGAAACCTCTCTACGACCTCGCTCCAGGTATGTTTTTATATTCAGCTTGCATTATGTTACTGACTAGACAACATACAGCAACAAGCTTGTTTATTTCTAATTATGTGGATTTTTATTTTAATGTTGTGGCAAAATTGGATAACAGACAGACCATGCCCAAAAATAAAAAAGTCTAAAAACAGGCACAATTATTACTGAATATATAATTAATACACAATCAACTGCTCCCCAGGTCCTTTTACAGTTATGAGACATCAGAGCTTTACACTAACTACGACGTGGGAAACTTTGCAATGTGCTGTCCACCGAGGCAGAGAGATGGGGCTGGTGTTCGAGTCCCTTTAAAGAAGACCAAGTCTAAACCAAACAAGCAATCACCAACAAGAGAGCTTAGTGGTACTGAAATAATGATTTTATAATGTATTCAATTCACCAAATATTTTTACTTTTTTGTGGAAAATGAAAATTAAATGTATGTATGTCTACTTTGCTCAGGCAGTAA